TAAATAATATAGTAAGAACGGGAATAATGTAGGGACAGATCTTCCAAATGAAGAGGAAATTAAACAGATTTCAAAATAAATAATAAACCTAACTGTAACCCTAAAAAAAAGAAGCTAGTGAACACAATCCCTTTCACTAAACCGAAAACATGTCTGAATCATGTTTTCTAGTCAAGAAATCTTTGAAATAAATTTGCAAAGAAGGCAAACTGTCTTTTAAAATCTTCTCATTATGAAAAATGTTAACCCTGAATATAGAGAAAATCTAATGCTTAGACCCAACAATTATGAATCTGTCCCACCATTATTTTCTTTTAAAAAAACAGAGGAGACCGATACAGAAGATGCAGTGCTGGTGTAGTGCAGCGGGTTAAGCGTTGGACTGCAAGGTCGGTTTGAACCACAAGGTCTGCGGTTCAAACTCACCAGCCGCTCCTAGGAAATCCTATACAGGGTCATTATGAGTCGGAACCGACTTGACAGCACTTAACAACGCAGAAGATGGAAAGTCATAGTAAAATAGTTTTCAGAAGAAAATAACAAGAGAAAGTAAGAGTAAGAAACAATATTTATGTACTTTAGATTGTTATATGTTGTTGTTAAGGGCCACTGAGTTGGTATCAACTCATTAGGACCCTGTATAGGGTTTCCAGAGGAGCTCTAGTAGCATAGGGTTTATGAGTCGGGCTGCTAATCTCAAGGTCAGCAGTTTGAAACTACCAGTGGTTCTACAGGAGAAAGATGAGGCTTTCTGCTCCTGTAAAAATTTACAGCCTCGGAAACCCTGTACAGGGTTGCTGTGAGTAACGACTCCACGGCACATAACCACCACCAACACCACAGAGTTTCCAAGGAGCGGCTGGTGGGCTTGAACCATCGACCTTCTGGTTAGCAGTGCAGTGCTGATCTTACCTACAGTGCCACACTAGGACTCCAGATTGTCATGTACCAAAGCAAAATTTTTTGTTTAACAACAAAACATCTCATTTTAGAAAATAAGGGGAAGATTTACACCAAAGTGTCAGTAGAAAAATCAATAGGGGGAAAAAAAATATGGTAGAACTTTCCATTAGTTTCTAAGCAATTTGAGTTAGTCACATAAACTATAACACTACAGAGAGCACTGCAAAGAATGGGAATTCCAGAACACTTAATTATGCTCATGTAGAACCTGTACAATGGTGGAAACTGAACAAGGGGATATTGAATGGTTTAAAATCAGGGAAGGTATGCATCAGGGTTTGATCTGTATGTTGAACAAATAATCTGAGAAGGTGGACTACATTAAGAAGAATGTGGCACCAGAACCGAAGGAAGGCTCATTAACAACCTGCAATATGTAAATGGCACAAGGATCAAAGAATACAGACTTCAGTATGCATTACAGTTCAATGTAAAGAAAATTAAAATTCCCACAAGTAGCTCAACAGACAACATCATGATACATGAAGAAAAGATTGAAATTGTCAAGAATTCCATTTACTTGGATCCATAAGCAACTCTCATGGAAGCTCCAAATGATAGCTTTAAAGGTGTTAAAGAGAAAGGATGTCATTTCAAAAACTAAGGTGTGCTTAACACAAGCCATGGCATTTTCAATGGCTCCATGTGCATATGGAAACCTGGACAATCAATAAGGAAGACTGGAGAAGAATTGATTTGAATCTTGGTGTTCAAATCAATTCTTCTCCAGAAGAAAAGTTGAATCATGGTGTTGGCAAAGAATATTAAAATTACTATGGGCTACCAGAACAAAATAATCTGTCTTGAAAGAGGTACAGCTGGACTGCTCCTTAGAAATGAGAATGGGAAGACTTTGTTTCACATACTTTGGCCATGTTATTAGGAGGAAAAGGACATCAAGTTTGGTAAGGGCGAAGGTCAACAAAACAGAGGAAGATCCTCAATGAGGTGGATTAACACAGCATCTGCAAGAATGGACTCAAACATAACAGCAGTTGTGAAGAAGGTACAGGCCCGGCAGTATTTCATTCTGTTGTACACAGGGTTCCTGTGCTTCAGAAACGACTTGAAGGCACCTAACAGTAAATTACTAAAAGGTTATAGAAACATGATAAACATAGTTGTTGTTAAGTGCCTTCAAATTGGTTCCAACTCATAACGAACCTGTACAGAGTTTACAAGGGGTGGTTTGACCTGCTGACTTTATGGTTAGTAAGTAGTTCAGTGCTTATCCACTTCAGGAGTATACAAGTTATGAAAATGTTTTTCTCTCAAGTTTAATATTCTATTGTTAAAAATAAACTGAAGTCAAAACTTTAGCTACAAGAAGTTTATGCAAATACTTGAGAAATTTTCTAAGTATAAAAATTTTAGTTTATAATTATCTGAACAAGTGATGTTTTTCTTTAAAATGAGTACTGTAAGCACACAACTAGTTGAAAAAAGGATATCATGTTTGGTAAGATGGAGGGTCAGAGAAAAAGAAGACCCCCAGCGAGATTGATTGGCCAAGTGGCAGCATCAATGGGTTCAAGCGTGGCAACAATTGTGAGGTTGTCCCAGGATCCAACAGTGTTTCGTTCTGTTGTGCATAGGGTCGTTATGAGTCGGTACCGACCCGATGGCACCTAACAACAGCAATAATGGCTCACAAGAACAAGAAATGTCAAGGTCATATAGGTAACTAATAGATAACTACAGAAGACTTTCCTTGTACCCTGGTACTTCTGCCAAATACACTTACTAAAAAGGATTCAACTGAAGTAATCCTAGTAAAAGTGAACAGAACTCCAAGGTTAAGTGATGGTGTGGGTTATTTATATTTTCAATTACTTATCTCTCTTATCATCACAAATTTAAAACATTTTATTAAAACACTATAACCTTAGACAATTTTAATTTTATTAAGCATCAGTTTACTCATGTGAAAAACTGAGATAAAAGCCATAGGATTAGATATGTTTGTCACATACTGTGTTAAACAGCATAGTAGGTGTTTCTTGCTACAACTACATTAAGAAGGTTCTCGCTCCATTTTATAAACATGATGTAATCATTTCAAGAATACGTAATATGGGATTTGAACCCAGTCTCATTTCAGAGAAAGTCATGCATCAAACTATTATAGTACCTTCTTATTGTTGTTGTTAAATACAGTCCAGTAGGTTCCAACTCACAGTGACCCTGCAGCAGTTGGTGGGCTTTAGTCACCAACCTTGTGGTTAGCAGGCCAGTGCTTATAGTTAGAACCACACCAGGACTCCTTGTCGTTAATTCCAACTCATGGCCACCTCATGTCTGTCAGAGTGGAAGTGTGCTCTATAGAGTTTTCAAGGCTATTTCTTTCAGAAGTAGATCAGCAAGCCTGTCTTCCCAGGTGCCTCTGGGTGGATTCAAACCACCAACCTCTGGGCTAGTAGTCAAGGGCTTAACCATTTGTACCACCCAGTTTCCTTACTATCTCCTTCCAAGCCCACTGCCATTCAGTGGATTTCCAAGACAAAATCTTTATGGGAGCAGGCAGTCTCATTCTGAGGAGCAGTTAGGGGGTTTGAATGACCACCCATTTGAGTAGCAGCCCGACGCCTGACCCACGGACTTCCTGGACTCCTTTGCGCTGAGTTGATTACAACTTATAGTGTCCCTGCATAGGGTTTCAAAGGAGCAGCAACTGAGTTTGAACCACTGACCTTGCAGTTCAAACCTACAGTGCTTACCTACAACACCACACCATGACTCTTACCATCTCCTTGTTGTTGTTAAATGCCATCGAGTCAGTTCTGACTCATAGCGACCCAGAATAGGGTTTCTAAGGAGCTGCTGGTGAGTTTGAAGCGCAGACCTTGTGGTGCAAATGGAGCTTGCATCCAGTGTTTTAGTGTTTGATCCCACAGTCCTTTCTGCACAATAATAAAGCAAGCTTCCAGGAAGTACTGTGATGGTGGACTATGATGGGGTCAATACCTTAAAAAGTTCATTTAGTCTCCCCTTTGTCTTATTTCTTCCGGTGAAAGTGCAAATAAAGGGAAGACAGGTATGCAAACAGGCAGAATGCAGTTGGATTGTAATTTTTAATTGCAAAACCATCAGCTTGCTTCTTCAGGGACAGTGCCAGCGCTGGGAGGAAACTCCTGACAGTGGAGATGCCTTCCCTCACCCCCAAGTAAAGCCCACAATTTGGGGGTGAGGAGAGGCTCTGCCTTGACCAGTGGGAGAGAAGAGGAGCAGTGGCTGGGGTCAGGCCCACTCCACTAACCTAAGGGGGGGGGGGGCGGCACCATGAGTTACCGCACTGGGTGACACCCACCCTGTCTCTCCATGGCTTCAGAGGGCTGTTTATCTTTTCTCATCAAAAGGAGCCTGATCTTCTTGGGATCGAACTATAAAATTCTAATGAGTACTCCAGTGTCAAGCAGCAGTAAATTACAAGACTGCTCCACCCACGACAGTGACTTACTTCTTCTGGGAGGTTTACCGAGGAGAGTTAGGCCACAGAGAAGTAGAGAAGTTTGAAAAGAGTGTGCAGCAAGCTCGCCCCGTTCCCCCCCTCCCCCTCTGAAGGCTGCCAGCCAGGTTCGAACACAAAGCTCCACCAGTTTCTTTCTAGATAAGGGTTGGCCCCTCTACATTCTCGTAAACTTTAGAACCAGCTTTCGCATCATGCAGAGGGCACGGGATGCGTTGTCTCCCTCCTCCAAAATCACGTTGCGCAGGGTGCACGCTCAGCGAGGCTCACGCCTACAGCCCGGCCCACCTCCGACCCCGGGACCCCGGGGTTCCAGCCCCTCCACCTCGCCCACAACGAGCGCCTCCGCCGCAGAGCCGCTCGGTTCTAAGGGAGACAGCGGGCGGGCGCAGGGGGGCGGGGGGAAGAGAAGTGCCCCGGCCCGGGTGCTCCCGGATCCCGCCCTGAGACGTGCAGGCCGCAGCAGAGCCAGGGGAGGCCAGCGTTGGGCCTGCGCTCCGCCCGGCGTCACAGGCCGCCATGAGGCGAGGGAGAGGAGGCTAGGGCGGCTGCGCTGCTCGCGGCTTCTTACCGCTTCACTACGCCGGTTTTGATTTTGATCTGCCTCACGCGAGGGTCTGCCATGGCCTGTCGATCGCTGCGGGAAAGAGGGGAAGAGAACCGGTAACACCGGAGGGAGATGGCAACAAGGAGGTAGCTGTGTTCTGGTAGCTACCGCGACCTCACGCGCATGCGCAGGTCCCAATGCGGCCCCGGAGCCCCTGCCACACCCCGGGGGTGGCGGCCTGGGACGGTGGGTAACGCCTTCCTCCTTGCGCGGACTAGACCCTGCCTTTGCACAGTCTCCCAGCTCCTCTCCTTGAACAGACTTCGTTTTAGTTTGCAAATAAGTCTCACTTTTCCTGGGCTCCATAGTTTTGGGGAAATTTTAGTAATTCCCCAGGTAGATTGGATTGACCTTCACATTGCTTTGAGGAATTATCCGTATATTAGAAAGGGTGACTTGAAAAAGTGGTATAGATACTTTCCATGTAGTTACCTGGGTGGCAATGGGGGCATTGTGATGCATGAGTAATGAAATAAGCTATGAACATGCAGTGAGGCCCCCGGCTGGTCTGAAGTGTTGGAAGGTGTGTGTGAACTCACAAACTTGCAGCTAGTACCCATTTGACCTAGCTTTGATGTCTAGCTGACCACAACTCAGACCAAATGAAGATAAATATTTTTAATACTGTGAGTAAACGTAAACTGTCCAATTTGATGAGCTAGACTTTTGCTTATGGATACAATTGCTTAAAATTCTAACGGGAATGGAAGGATTCTTCATATCAAGGAACAACCTTGTGTCCTCAGTGTTGATGTTATTATTAAATGCTGTCCAGATAGGGTCAGACAAGTTAGACATTGGCTATCAAAAATGCAGCTATAAAGTCACTATGGGGTAATGCCCTGGACTACAAGGTCTGTTTGAACTGTAAGTTTGGTTCAAGCACACCAGTCACTTGGAAACCCTATACAGGGTCGAATGGGCCAGAACCAACTTGACGACACTTAACAACAACATAAAAGCATGAAGCGGACGGATTACAAACGTTCATGAGTATGCTTAGATTCAGAATGAGAAGGGTAGTTTTGTTTTCCTCTCTTCCAGATGAATCTGGTGAAAGGGGATAGGAATGATGGTAAAAGGATTTTATGATTCAGTTGTGAGCAATTGTTAACAGGATTAATTGTGATTATCACAACTGTAATTGTAGAAAATGTGTAACTAAAAGGGGGGAGTAGTTAATCTTTTACTTCAGAAACAGTAACCGGTGGTCCCAGGACCATCAAGAAGGAAGAACATGAGTAGAAGAATGGCAATAGCAACCAGAGGCGGTATCATGGAATGACAGAGAACATACAAGATGAAAATGGAGACCCACGTGGAAGAAGTAGGATAACTGTTGTTACAGGGAGGAGATTATAATCATTGAAATGAAACAAAGTGTATCATTTGTTGAATGTAAAACTGATCATCTTGTCTGTAAACCTTCACTCAATTGACAATAAAAAGCTTAAAAAAAAAAACAAAAAAAAACCCACTCAGTCAAAAACTTCCACCCTACCAAACCCACTGCCATCAAATCAATTTTGATTCATAAGGATCAAAATTGTAGATAATGTGCCTTACAAAAGAATGACAAAGACCTCTACAAATAATTATAATCTCTAATAGGACTCCCATGTGCTGCTATAGAATCAGTACTGGACTTGGAACTACAAGGTCAGCTATTCAGACCTACCAGCTATTCTTAAACCCTATACAGAATCTTTTGAGTAAGAACCAACAGGATGGCAATTAACAAAAACAATGTATTTTTTTTTAATGTTATATTGTGAATTATGTGGTAGTTTACTTGGGAGAACATTAGTTTTACATTCATCCTATCTGTTGTTTCGTTGCCATGGTTACAAGCCCCTCCATGCATCAGCACATCAGCATCATCAACCAACCCTGCAAACCTGCCCCCCCCTCCAAGTCTACATGTCATCTTCTCTGCCTCCATCTCTGATGTCATTGTTTCTCTGGGTAGGGTCCCGTACTCCACTCTTCCCCCTTGACGGTCCCAGGGACCTCCACTCCTGGACTGCAAAGTCAATTACTCCCCTCCTTTTGCTACAAAATGTCTACCTTTACATTTCCAACCCTCACAGTCAGTCCTGATAACAATTGTTCACTATTGTATCACAAGAGACCTATCCCCATCTCCTTTCATCAGCCCTGCCCAGACATGTTGTTGTTGTTGTTGTTGTTATGTGCCGTGGAGTCGGAACCGACTCATAGCGACCCTGTACAGGGTTTCCGAGGGTGTAAATCTTTACGGGAGTAGAAAGCCTCATCTTTCTCCCGCGGAGCAGCTGGTAGTTTCGAACTGCTGACCTTGAGGTTTACAGCCCGATTCGTAACCACTACGCTACCAGAGCTGGATACTTACTCCCTGGAGATTTTACCTTCCTCCACTCCCTCTGGATCTAGGCTTCCTCCTAAAACCTTGTAAGCCAGTCACCTCTTGCCTTTGTAAACCTCCCCCCCACCCCCATTTTGGGTTGCCAATGTCCAAGTTGCCCATCCCTGTCTACTCTGTTGTTGTTAAGTGCCATCAAGTTGGTTCCGAACCATAGTGATTCTGTATAGGGTTTCCGAGGAGTGACTAGTGAGCTTGAACCCCCGACCTTGAGGTTCAAAGGAACTTTGCAGTCCAGTGCATTAACCCACAGCACCATACCAGGATTCCTACTCTGATTATTGTTGTTGTTGTTGTTAAGTGCCCATCAAGTCCATTCCGACCCATAGGGGGTAAAAACAATGTATCTTAATGGATCCTTGGTAGTATAGTGGCTTACGCCTTGGGTTGCTAATGGCAAGGTCAGCAGTTTGAATCCACCCAGTGCTCCTCAGGAAAAAGATGAGGTTTTCTGCTCCTGTAAAGATTTATAGCCTCAGAAACCATAGACAGGGTCTGGAATGCACACCACCATCACCACCACCAATGTATCTCAAATATATATTTCAAATATGTATGTTGTTGTTAGGTGCTATTGAGTCAGTGCCGACTCATAGCAACCTTATGCACAGCAGAACAAAACACTGCCTGATCCTGGGCCAACCTCAATACTGTTGCCACACTTGAGCCCATTGACGTTGCCACTTGGCCAATCCATGTTGCTGGAGGTCTTCCTCTTTTGCTCTGACCCTCCACCTTACCAAACATGATATCCTTCTCCACTGACTGGTCCCTCCTGACAACATGTCCAAAGTATGAGAGACAAAGTTTGGCCATCTTGGCCTCCGAGGCGCACTCTGGCTGCACTTCTTCAAACAGCTCTGTTGGTTCTTTTGGCAGCCCATGGCACTTTCAATATTCTCCTCCAACACCAGAACACAAATGCATCAATTCTTCTATGGTCTTCCTTATTCACTGTCTAACTTTCACATGCATATGAAGTTATGGAAAATACCATAGCTTGGGTCAGGCGCACCTTAGTCCTCAAGCTGACATCTTTGCTCTTCAACACTTTAAAAAGATGTTGTGCAGATTTGTCTAATGCAATATATCATTTGATTTCTTGACTGCTGCTTCCATGAGTGTTGATAGTTAATCCAAGAAGAATTAAAATATGTGTATGTATCTCAAATATACACCGATGTATCTTGATAGCTAAGGAGCTCTGGTAGCGTAGTGGTTACGAGTGGGCTGCCAACTTCAAGGTCAGCAGTTCGAAATTACCAGTGGTTCCATGGGAAAAAGATGAAGTATTCTGCTCCTGTAAAGATTTGCAGCCTCGGAAACCCTGTGCAGGGTCACTATGAGTCAGAACCAATCCACAGTACTTACCAACAACAGCAATCTTGATAACTAGTAGGTTACATGTTGGGCTGCTAACAGCAAGGTCAGCAGGTCAAGTCCACTAGGTGGTCCTCAGGAGAAAGACACTTTCCACTTCCACAAACATTTATAGCCTCAGAAATTCAACTCAAAGACACACAGCCAGCCAGCTAGTATATCTTAAATGTTCAGTTTCTAAAAACTGTGCAGCATACAAAACATACAATTTCGCTTACTTACAGTTGGGGGGAAGGGGGGTCACGCTTTAACAGCTAAAAAACACTGGACTCATGCTGCTTGACCTTAACTAAGTCTGTTAACTAATCTGAGTCTGTTAACTAATCTGCCAAATGGAACTAATTAACACTTAAAAGAGTAGAGATGAGGCTTAAAGCATCTAGCCCAGTGCCTCAACTCTATACAGAGGTGTCTATACAGAAGAAGGACTGGCTAACTACTGAATGTTTCACTAAAAATCTTATATCTAACTAGAGAACATTGTCAGATATGCTACCAGGAAATGAAAATGTTATGAATTGTTGTTAAAACAACAGACTTTGTGGTCCAATGCTTATCATACATAACCACCAGAAAATTGTCAGATATAGTACCAAAAGATGACTCCTTCAGGTTGTAATGCATCCAAAATGCAACTGGGAAAGAGCAGCCTTTTATTAAAAAATATATACATTTTTTATTTGTTTTTATTTTTAATATATGATGTATGGGCTGGCTTGGAATATGTGCCCTTTGGCCATTTAAACAAATATATATTTTCAAAGTTGTATGTGTAGACCGTCACTGAATTCACAATGTTGTTGTTAAGTGCTGTCGAGTCAGTTCTGACTCATAGCAACCCTGTATAAGGTTTCCGAAGAGAAACTGGTGAGTTTGAACTGTTGATCTTGTGGTTCCAACCGACTTTGCAGTCCAGCGTATTAACCCACAGCACCATACCAGGAGTCCCAATTTATAACATAAGCCTTAAAATAAAGAGTTGCCTCCTCAAAGTAAAATTGACCTTGATGATCCAAATGCAGAAAAGCTTTCAGGTCCTTCATTTACTGATGGGGCACAACTCAAGATGAGAAACAGCTGTAGGCATCCACTAATAATCAGAACATGGAAGGTACGAAGTATTGAATCTAGGAAACTGTCAAAATGAAATGGAACACATAAAGATCAATATCCTAATCATTGTTTGCAGGTGGTGGTTGTGGTGTGCTATGGAATTGGTTCCGACTCATAGCGACC